CGTAAACGTAAATGTGGTCATACAAGTAATCTTCGACCAAAAAAGAAATTGAAATAAATGCATAGTAGAAGAAGACGACGATGAAGACAAAAAAAAAAAATGTCATATTTATTTGTTTTGTTTTCTTTCTATTTGTTGTTTTCTTCGAAGTAACCGTTATTTGAAAGATCATTAAAGTGATACAGTTTGGAATAGAGCAAATGTCTTGTCATTAATTTTTAAAAAGGGAGTAAATACGAATATCGGTGCCATGGAAATTGACATCGTCATGAAAAATATATACTATTTGGCAAACAGTTTACCGTTAGGTTAAGGTGAGAATTTGATAATTGGTTTACATTCTTCAGTAACACTGGAGGTTCTCTTTCTAAATTGTTGAACAATTCTGAATATTCAGAATTACGAGGACGTGAACTATTTATGTATGATAATTTAAAAGACTATAGTTGTTGGTTATAGAATTTATTCTATGTGTATCAAAGAGTTGGGATACTTTTAGAAGTATTTTATACTTTATTCTAGCATTATTTCAATGTGTAAAAAGTACAGTCATGACCACTTTATCTTCGCAGACTAGGTTATAGGCTGAGAAAACAGTAGACAAAAATGCTAGCTAGAAAATATTAGTCCAACTCTAAAATGTTTGAATATTGTTATTATATTTTAACCGGTTTTCTTAAAAGGTTTTTAAATATTTCATAACGATAAACATAACGAATAATAACTTCATTCAGAAACTATTCATAAATTTACGTAATTTTGCTTAACCACTGTCTCATTTTGTCTATTATCTATTGTCGTTTACACATATTACACACAACATATCAGTCAGAGGACATGGGGTACGTTTAATTATTTTGTACTTTACATTAGATCTGATATCGGCAGACAATATTATAATGGCTTGTAAGCGAATATCATACTGTAAAAAGACGACATATCTCAAATGTAATACCATGTGCCCGATTCATTATGAAAAATTATATCGTCTAAATCAATGTGCACAGTACATATATATTTTATTTACTTCATTTCTGACAAAATATAAGTAAAAAATGTGTATTGTTTAGTATTTCTTGAATTAATCTTAAAAAAACACGTTGAGTGACAAGACACTTCAAGCATTATATACCGCTCCTATCGTGGATCCGTACTGCTGACAGTCAAGGCACTCCATTGACGGAGATATTTTTCTTTTTATGGCGAATGACCTTGAGTACCTCTGGTAAAGTTTTTAATTCGATCGGATGAAATTTAAGGGGGAAGGAGGATCGTAATGTGATCCAGTAAAAAACCGAGTTTTCTGGAAAACTGGTGTACGGCAATAGTTAAAAACTTGAAACAAAAACGAAAATGTGCTCCATTAGGTTTCCAATCAGTTCTGAAAATATGAAGCCTTAAAAAGTTTTAGTTTTTATTTCACAGCATTTCTACGGAAAGCCCAAAATGAGAGGAGGGGTACCCTTAAATATCCGTGAATTATATTGAGCAAATTTTCGATTTTCTAAAATTTTGAGTTTAATCGATAATCTTATGTGAATGAAAACAAAACAGGGATCATTCAATGCGTCATACGACAGGGCACATTTTATCGGAGACATATTGAAGGACATAACAAAATGTCTTTTGCAGAGGCTCTATTGAATATATCTTTTTATAAGGTACCTGTACACACATTTCAAAACATATTTCATGTACCGTTATGGACAGATGTTCCCTATATGAGGACAATCCCACATTTTGGGATTTTTCCCGTTCCCGGATACCTCCTTGCAGGAACTTTTTCTTTTGACTGTTTTCAACAGACTTTTCACTTTTCTTTTTATTACGTTTATATTTCAATTTTGTTCATGGTATTGTACGACAAACAATGTGTTTTGTTTTGACTTCCTGTTTAGAAAGAAAGTCCTCTTACGGTCTCCATTTTCCTTAGTTTGTCCTCTTTTATTTTATTATATTAGTGGCATCTCTAGTTGTGCATAACATTTGAGGAAGTAACCATATACACGACACATTCCTACCATGACATTTCAAATGTGTATTCTGACACGGCATAATCGAAATGCAGCATAGTCCAGGGCGCATTTTTTTTCCAGTAGATAAGTAAAGGTTGGTCAATTTCTCTGTTCGCCAGATATTTTTCGTGTATGTACGGGTGTTTCACGTTATATTGAACGAGTGTCAATTCAATTTTAACAGCAACAGACAACTTTGAATTCTTATTTTCTACTAATCTGCTATCTTCTCAAAATTTTCAGGCTTATTGTTCTTTTGTTCTTTGTTACCAATATTTACCATCTTCATGCTAAAATATATTTGTCTTCTTTTATAAGGTGATAAAGAACAACATAATAGTTAAAGTTGAAGGAAAAATTAAGAACTCAATGATATCACAATTACATCCGTTACATAGAAAAATTTAATATTTTTACAATTAATTTACTATACTAACAAAACCGAATCTTCAATTAATTACATGATCTCTTTCACTATTCTATCTTTTGTTTTTGTCAAAGTTTCTCAAAACATAAAAACGTTGTTTTAAATAAACATCAAAATTATTTTCTTATCAGTTTCATAACATGCATAAGTGAGGCAAGTAATTGACTAGCAACTTATTATCGGATGATGATATAGCTCGAAATGCTTGGTAATAATATTATAACGACTAGAATTCTGTTTAGTGTACGTGAAAGTTGGATAATTAATTGTTATTTTGCTCGCTTGAGATAATTGTATTCTAGAAAATATTGCGAAATCTATCAGAGATCATTAATCACTTCTTTACATGAACAATCCAAAGTTAAGATGATTTTCTCACCATATTGCTAATACTATCGTTTTTTAATGCTATATTAACTAGATCTTCCTTCAAAACAGGAGGGAGTTTGTCCTTCAGCTCGATATATTAAATTTCTGACTCCTTTGAAGGAAATGCTTGTTAAGGTCCCCTCTCCTAGTCGAGACTCCTGTCACGAAGTCCTGCGGGAGTCAGGTGGGGCTTTCATGACTTTCGGTGGACTCCCGCAGGGCCCGAAAGTCTCACAAGAGTCCCGAGCGAGTCCTCAGGAATCCTTAGGAGTCTCTTGAAAGTCGCACCTGACTCCCGCAGGACCCCGTGGCAGTTTTGTCGGGAGTCTCGGCTAGGGCTCTCGTCAGAAACCTATCTCTGAAAGTATAAGTCCAATCTGGGCCAAACTGTTAAGAGATGCTATTTGTAGCTGCAAGATTTCTTAGTAACAAAACGTTGTGGTGGCCTGAGTTGATGAATACACATGTAGCTAGAGACTTTCCGAGCTCTCTGCGATGTTTTGTTACCGAGAAATGTTGCAGCTACGAAATGGTATTACGGTGAAAGTCGCTTTCGAGATAAGGTGGTACCAGTATCCGGTGCACGTTTTAGGGCTTCCAGCAAAACTCTCATAATTCCTGATCAGAACGTCATTCAGAGCTAGAAGATATCTCATTTTGATCAGAAATCTTTGTTCTATTTCGTGGTATTATTGAAAGTTTTTCCAATTTGTTTTTTTATCGGAAAGTAAATTGTTTTCGAAAAGTCAGCTTTTCAAGGTTTGCAGAAAACTTTTCTAAATAGTTCCATACCGCTTCGGTCCTTAAACAAAAGTCCTTATAAAAGATGTTACTATTTCTGGCTTAGTGTTCTTATATAACTATTGCATTTTTGGCAAAATAAGTTGATTGATTAACCAACTAATAAGACTATGTCCAAATTATAAGTGAAAAACATTATTTGTGAAGATGAGATATAACGATATTTTAACAATTAAAGAAAGATCGATTACGAGTGAGATAATACCTGAGTGTTTAGCAGGCTAAACGACTATTAAAGTGAATGAACCCAACAAATTTAAGATTTTGAACATGTCAGATTCTGAAAAATTTCGCAAGTTTCAAGATAATATACAATATAAAAATGTATGTTTTTTCATTGTTTTGGGAAAAAAGACTACATCTATAAGATCTGTCTGCCATATGTGGTGTGTTTTTAATTACTTTAATTTTCCGACTGCTATATTACGGTTGATACTGCGGTAACGTGGTTATATGTAAGCGCTGTACATCCTACCGAAAATATCAAGAAGATAATCGCCGAGAAACGCTGAATTTAACAACTAGAGTTAAGATCTATTTTCATGTGAAACTATAAAAAGTTCAATTTTAAAATCAATTTACTTTTGATAAATATTATTAAAATCAGTCTCGAATAGAAACACGAGTTTATTCAGTTATGGAGATCAATCGCCCTCTTTTACTAGGATCAAAAGCACCGAAGAGCACGGTATAACGGAAATTGATCGTTCCTGAGTTTATTTCAAACGCAAACTAAACATAATGTGACTGTACAATGTGAAAATAGGTAGGAACATTGAACCGTATCAAAAGAGAGAGCAAGAGTTCATAAAAAGTTCAGAAAAATGTACGATGGAATAGCTGGAAGCGAGACAAGAGATCATTAACTAATCGATGAGAAATAACAATAGATACACACAGCGAGAGACATCACTGAAGAAGAGAAGAGAAAGGATGAGAAGTCAATGGGAAGAATGCTTATATTATTTACACAGTCAGTTCGCAAAAAATAACTCGACGCAAGATTAGCCTCTGGACTATTTTACTTTCTTCCTCTTAACTGATGGATAATAACTATACGCACTAGCTACTGTATGATAAGACTATTAGGATTCTCATGCAGAATTTGTAATTGAGATGGCTGAAATTGATTGGATTTTAACGTGAACTGGTTCAATCTTGGTCATTGAAAACGGTGTCAAGTCCGATCTTTTTTGATCGTTTTGAGAACCGTTCGTTTTTGAGTGTTCCCGTATACTTTGACTTATAGAACCGTATTTTACTGACAAAACAAAAACAAAAAGATGTAAAGCGTGACGGCTTATATATACTCATTTTGAACAAGAGTTATTGAGACTCTGTAGTAGGGGTGGCGCTTTACCGTTTCTTTACAGGTAACGCAGTAACGCATGCGTTATTGCGTTACTGATAACGAGTAACGCATGCGTTACTCGTTACCAGTAACTACTAACGAGATGCGTTTATTTTTCATAGCTTTTGTAACGAGTAACGCAGCTTTATTTGCGTTACTTTTCTAGTAATGCAGTAACGCTTGCGTTATACGTTACTTGTAACGCAATAACGCTTTCGTTACTCGTTACCAGTAACGCATAATATGGTAACGCTTTAGTCGCATTTTGTCCGGAAGGTGATAAAAACAATACATTTTCGGTTGTTCGTCACTCATACGGTGATATTTGAAAGCGTTGCTTTACTCAGTAAAGTAACGCATTAGTAAAGAAAATGTGCCACCCCTACTCTGTAGTGCTCTAGTATACAGACATTTTCCCAGACATTGATAAAAATTTTTATTCTAAATATGATATAAAGTTAGATACAGTTAAGGCAGCCAATATGATTTAAGATTTTCTACCATGAGTACTCTTCATGTTTGTTATTCTATGCAGCGGTTATATTTCCATAAAATTAGAAAAACACAAACTTCTCTCTAGCAATTTGACTTTCAAATCTCTAGCCTTACACCTCAAAGGTCATGAATGAAAAACAATAATATTTGTTATATTGATCTCGTCTAGGTTAAACATGTTTAAGTTTACAAATTATAAATTTATTCCTCATAATTTAAAACAATGAATAGTGTTGCTGTTGTATAAATCAAAGAATACATTTTCTTATGAATGAAATACATTATTAGTTTTTATAAATAGTGAAATTTAAAAAGATTTCGTCAGATATTTTTGTTGTCATTGTTTAGGTAAAAGGTAAAAGTACAGATGAATTGTGCATTTTTCTAGTAGCAGGCAGACATCAGAAGTATTGGCTCATAAATCGATCTTTTCAGAAACACTTATCATTCTTTAGTCATCTGCGATGCTTTTAAAGAAAAAAAATAAACGCTTTCAGAAAAAATCAGTTTTGTAGACTCATAGAAAAATTTAGATAGATATTTTTTCCATTCAAAACTTATCATGTTATACATGATTCGATCCAGTTTGACCAGCTGATTCCAAATATTACCCTGCTTTTCAATAGAAATGTTGTGGGATCGAAAAAAATAGATTTTACCATAAAAACATGGTCTTGAAAAATTTACGTATTTTTGCACATTCATTATTTGTTTGGTGCGCTGCGGCGAATATTTTGATATATTTTTCGATCAAATTAGGAGACGAGAAAAAGTAAGAAATTGATTTTTCTGTCCATAGCTCTTGGAAAAATCACTTAGATTGGAAAACAACTTTTCTCCGACAGCAGAGGTCAAAACCAATTTTTTACTAATTGATAGCTGGTAAGATTAGGATTCAGAATATGTATCATTTTTGTTTGTTAGTTTATTTGGTATAATAAAAAAGAAAATTTTTCTGAAATAGGTGTTTTGAGGCTGAATTTTGACCTAATATTTTTCGACGATTAGAAATACTTGTAACAAAAAAATTTATGTCATTAAATAGAACATTCTTCGATGTAATCTAAACACTATTCAGATCTAAAAAAAGTTCACTTTCGATTTTTAGCCAAATATTCTTCTGTTACGTTTTAGAACGATGGCATCACTTGGCCGTGGAAATACTACCAATAATGAAGCTGCGAGAAACGATAACAATTCAAATAATTTAGTACATGGAAATACAGAAATTTCCACTGTTGATCAACTAAATGAACAATATCAATTAAATCAAAATTTTGGTGAAAATCCATTGTATGGTTCGTTACGTTATATTAAAAAATACTATAAACCAAGTCCAACATGTTTTAAACGACAACTATATCATCGTATACCTTTTATTGAATGGATACAAAATTATAATCTAAAACAATGGATACTATCAGATATTATTTCGGGATTAACCATTGGAATTGTGCATATTCCACAAGGTAAATATGAAAACATTAGTTTTTTCAAAATAATTGAATAATTATTAATGTTTGCTATTTTCTGCCTGTTCGTATTATTGTAGCACGTGATTTTAGGACTTGGCTACGCAATTCTGGCTGGTTTACCGCCTGTGACAGGTCTTTATGTTTCCTTTTTTCCAGTTCTTCTCTATGCTTTTCTTGGATCATCAAGACATCTTTCAATCGGTGAGTTATAATGTACAGCAATGTTATTTAGCTAGTACTTATAATATTTCTTTTTCTCGTATTCAAAGGTACATTCGCTGTCACATCATTAATGATACTAGCGGCCATAAATAGTCGAATTGGCACTCTAATTCCACCAGACGATACAACGATCTCTTCAGCTTCTTCAATTAATACAACATTTCCGAGCGGCACTTACGCTAATCAGCTATACGAAACATCCGAACAGTTAGTAACTACCACCATGACACGTTCGAGTACATCAGCATTAGATACCCATCATTATCTGAGTGATAAACCGGATGAAGCTAAAATTATGATAGCAACAGCTCTCGCATTCGTCGCAGGCATTATTCATGTAATTATTAAAAATATTCTTCTTGTACAATTGCTATATTTATCATTTATTCTACCAGATTGGAATGGCTATTTTACACTTTGGTTATGTAACAGTTTATTTATCAGATTCAATTGTTCAAGGTTTTACTACTGGTTGTGCTATACACATAATTACTAGTCAAATACCACCGTTACTTGGAATAAAAATAAAAACAATAGGAGGACAATCAAAAATTATTAAGGTAATTTTATGCAATATTTTGTTTTATCATTTTTTATAATATAAGATAATTAGAAGTTTATTTAAAAACATAATACGTATTGCATACTTTCAGAATTGGATTGAAATATTCAAAAATATAAAGTATTCAAATGGTGCAACGGTGATTATCGGTAGTATTAGCATAGCGCTATTTGCCGGTGTACGAGACCAAATTAATGAACGATTTAAAAGCCGAATGCCACTGCCAGTACCAATTGAACTTATTATTGTAGGTTGCAATAGTTGTCGTCTTTCATTCTTAATGGTTCAGTTTAATTTTAATGTAGGTTATTCTTGGAACGGGATTGTCGGCTGCGTTCAATTTCGATCGTAGATGGAAAGTAGCAGTTGTTGGTACTCTGAGACTTGGGTAATGAATGATATAGACTATTTAATGAACGCTAATAACGTGTAATGTTCTTTAGCATTCCCACACCATCTTTTCCATCAAAAGTGGCCTTGTCAGATGTTTTCAGTGATGCGATTGCTGTTGCAGTTGTATCGTTTGCAATTAACATTAGTATGGCTAAATTGTTTGCAACAAAGTTTAAATATAAAATCAGTCCAAATCAGGTAATGAGAGTTGACTAAAACTAGTTATTTACTCTCTAATAAAAGTTTTACTAGGAATTATTTTCTTATGGTGTTTGTAATGTGGTTACATCATTCTTCAGTGGTTTTCCCATTTGTGTTGCTCTGTCACGATGTGCCGTTGTGGAAGGAACTGGTGGGAAAACACAGGTATATTAAATTTGTTGATTGAACTACTATCAAACATTAAATTTGATTCCCTACAGATTGTTGGCATATTGGCGTCCATTATTGTTCTAATTGTAATATTAGCCGTTGGTCCTGTTTTTCGGACACTTCCAAATGCCTGTTTAGCTGCTATTATTGTTACAGCAATGAAAAATATGCTGCTTCAAACAAAACAATTGCCTGCTCTATGGCGAACGAATAAATTAGAATTTTTAGCGTGGATGATTACATTTTCGGGCGTCGTTCTATTAGATGTTGATTATGGTTTATATATTGGTGTTGTAGCAACCATCTTACTATTAATTATTCGTACTCAACGGTAATCAAAGTCTTTTGTAATTAATTAAAAGATTTACATTATTTTCTGTATGATAGACCACATGCAACATCATTAGGTTGTTTAAAATCTGGTATATACGAAGATAAAGGTGCGTATCCCGGTGCTGCAGACATTCCAAATGTGAAAATATTCCGTTTTGAAGAAAATATTTATTATGCTAACATTGATGCATTTAAAAAACTATTTATAAAAAAAATTGATTTTCAAGTGGAAGATCAATTGAATTTGATGAATGAAGAACTTTTATGTGTTGAACGTGAATTCAAAGCTTCTACTCGTCAGGCTAGTAGGCCTAATAAACAATTGCAGTATATAAAACAACGTCTTCAAAGACAAGGTAGTAGTGCTAATTCATTAAATAATGATAGAAATATGCTCATGAATGGAAGAGTAGCTATGGATGATGTAAACTCGGAACAAGTGTTTACTATAAACGAAGTAGGGAACAATGTACAAGTGGATGAAATTCAATTAGTCAATCAAATTGAGTTAAAGCCGATTGATAGAGAGAAGGATAAAGAACAAAAAGTGAGTATTACCACTACTATTTGTATCACTATGAACAATTTGTATTTATTTTAGATTGCAGAAATTAAGAAAAAATATCGACCAAAGTTTGAATTTGTTATTATTGATTGTTCTCCACTGAATTATATTGACATAATGGGAATCAAAACTCTTATTCAGGTAAGAAGCATAGATTTAAGGGAAAGCTCGGATTTGTTTTAAATCATAGCTAAAGTCTGGCACTACAACTTAACAGAGCCCGATTCTTCGATTTCAGAATTGACGTCAGATGAAGAGAAAATGTTTGAGAGTAGTTCAATCAACAAATTTAATATACCTGTGNAAAATGTTTGAGATCCTACACCCCAGTAATTTCATATCGTGGCGTAAAAATTCTGTAAAAAATGAACTACAGAGAAATTAAAAGATCGGCCTCTGTTAAGTTGTAGCCCTACATCTTAGCTACATTTTAAAACCAACCTGAGCTCGCTAACGTTAAAAATGGCAGAGAAATCTGGGACGGACGAAGACCCATTTTTGGACCTGAATTGTGAGCTAGCTCTTGATAGGTTTAATATCTCGAGCTGAAATTTTTACTGTGAGGTCATCATACCTAGATACACCATCTCTGAAAGTTTCATTAAGATCGAATGCTC